TTTATAGATTTTAGCAAAGCGTTTGATAAGGTTTCACACTTAGGTCTTATGCAAAAGCTCTCGAGCTTTGGTATAACAGGTGCTATACAGGAATGGATAGGAAGCTTCTTATGTGACCGCAGACAGAGAGTGAGAGTCAATGGAACTCTATCCGAATGGAAACCGGTCAAAAGTGGTGTACCCCAAGGCACCATCTTGGGCCCTTTACTTTTCCTTCTGTATATTAATGAACTACCTTTATTACTTAAGTCGTCGACGTTATTGTTTGCGGATGATGTTAAAATCTGGAGAACAATAAGAAATGAGACTGATCGTTGTTATCTACAAGCAGATTTAGACGAATTAGTTAGGTGGGCTCATGATTGGGGCCTGGAAGTTAATTCTAGGAAGAGCGTGTTCAGGCACATCGGGCACGATATTAGTTACCACTATACCATTAATGGTACATCTCTGCCACGCGTTCATGCGCATAAAGACTTAGGAGTAATTATAAGTCACGACTTAAAAACTACAACGCACTGCAGTGCGGTTGCTTCCAAAGGCTATCGCGCGCTATGGTCGCTTCGCAGAGCATTTAAATGCTTTGACGAGGATATGTTTCGAATTTTATATCCCACCTATGTAAGGCCACACTTAGAATACTGTATCCAAGCAGCTAGCCCTTGTCTGATAAAGGATACTAAATCACTTGAGCGTGTCCAGCGTGTAGGGACAAAATTAGTAAAGGGTCTTTCCAAACTCCCTTACGATGAGCGTTTAAAACGTCTAAATCTTTTCCCCTTATCTTATCGTAGGACGCGAGGTGACCTTATACTGGCATTTCGTATCTTTAATTATGATCTGGGTGTTAATATGTCCTACCTTTTTGCTCCCTCCAGCACTAATAATCTCCGGGGTCATAGCAAGAAGGTTCTGAAACCGCGATCTAATAAACTAAAGGTGGGGTCCCGTTTTTCTCATCGAGTGGTCAATGACTGGAACGCTTTACCAGAACAAGTGGTATCAGCACCATCAGTGAACATTTTCAAAAAGAAGCTGGACCTTCACTGGAAGGAAATCTGTCAGGATTAACACAGGTTCATCAACCTACTATCCTTATTACTGAAGACTGAATCCTCACTGCATTGAGATGTCATTTTTCGAAAAATCTATTCTTCTGTGATCATGAGGTGTGGCGACTTGAACTCGCATACACATGCCCCAGGTCCTAAGTTATGTATAATCAACTGAGAGACCGATATTCGAGGACTACTGCCGCAATAATAACTCTTACTCAATTAAACACTGATCGAATTTACGGAAAACCGTAAGCTGCTAGTTGTTACGAGGTTTGCATACAATGTGCACTGAATTTGAAAGATATTTTACGAATTTCCCCACCTAACTTTCCAATTAAACTTTGTAGTAGCACAAAGTTACTTAATAACCGGATTCTGAATACAACAGGAAGTGTCAGGTATGAATACACGGCCAGCAGCACAGATCACTTCTGATATATAGCAAGCGAATTAAAAATTTTTTCTCAAGTAAAAAACCATGCAATATATATATATATATATATATATATATATAAAAATTTGCATTTACTACATTCACTTCGAGGATGAGAACACGTGAGAGCAACTGAGTGATAAAAACCATCGAGAAATATCTAGATAATATGATGGTACTTAGTGTTCTTCCTGTATTATGTTTGTGAGAGCAGTAAAGATAATAGACAACTTACATTCATTTCTTAGTAGCACATCTATTTACAATATGCGCTCTTGCCTTAATTTCCAATACACCCAACCTTTTTGTCACGAGGTGGTATTAGCCGATAGGTTTATTTCTGCTCGTTTCTTGTTGTTTTAAGACGGTTATCAGTATTTGGTAATGTACGATGGGTGGTTGTGACCAGTTCCATTACATCACTTGTTCAACAATGACCGACATAGTCACAATTTAGTTTATGCACGACCGATCCTTGCGGAATTCAGCTTGCTGATCTCGACGTTTGTGATTTTCAGAATCCTTCATTCAGTTCAGCAAAACTCCGTTGAAATTCTTTCCTTGTATTAACAGTACTGTTCTTCCTCTGTAGTCCTCACATATGCTCAGATCTCTTTTTTTGGTATGTTGATGAGGTTCCCGACATTCTAATCCGTCTGCACTTGTTCCTCCTCCCAAATGTTCCTGAGTGGAAAATGAAGCTTGTTACAAGTTACTTTAATGATTGACTTCAGTTGCTATATTTTCAGGTCCTGCTGCTTTCCCATTCATTATTTGTCTGATGGACATCTTGACTTCTTCGATCGTTGGTGGAGAGACATCTATGGGAAGTTTTTGTATGCTGCTTCGATGTCTGGTGGGACCCAATGAGGCTGGTCTATTTAACGGTTCCATGAAGTATTCTAACCATCTGTTCCTCTGTTCTTGAACCTCCGTGATTGTCTTTCTTTCTTTGTCCTTGACTGGTCTTTCCGATTTACTATATCTCCGTGCTAGTTTCTCCGTTGTATCACATGGTTGTTTCATATCCCCTTATCTTGCAGCATTTTCCGCCGTCGTTGCTAGTTCTCCCATGTAGTTCTGCTTGTCGGTTTTATTGCTCTTCTTCATTTGCTTGTTTGCTTCTGCGTACTCTGTATGTGCCTTGACCTTCTCTGCTCGTGTTCGACTGTTGTTAATTGCTGTCTTCCAGTTCTTCCTTTCTTCAATCTTGTCCAGGGTTCCCATAGAGATCCATTCCTTATGATTATACTTCTTGCGATCCAGAACCTCCTGTCACGTTGAAGTTAGTGCTTCTTTGATCCCTTTCCAGTTGTCCTCCATAGTAGCTTCTTGTTCTTTCAGTAGATCTTGTAAGGCTTGGAACCTGTTGTTGAGAGTTATCCTAATTCGTTGAATTTGTTAGTATCTCGAAGGAAGGCTGTATAGAACCTTTGTGTTGCTGTTTCCCCAGTTGTCCAGTATTTCTTAATCTTCACTTTCATCTTGGTCACAATCAGGTGGCGATCTGAAGCTATGTCAATTTTTCTCGTCTTCCATTGTGATTCTCGCGTCCTTCATTGATCCTTTGAACATTTTGTTGATACATATATGACCGACCATATTCTCAGTAGTGTGATCTGGTCACATCCATGTAGCTTGGTTTATGGGTCGGTAGAGGAAAATAGTACCATGACCACGTTGTTAAAGGAATATAAATTTGATAATCTCTTATTATTTTTATCCTTTTATCCCAGTAAATGTCGTTACACAATGTCCTCATATATGGAGTTTCCCGCCTTGAGATTTGGTTCCCTCACCAAGACAGTCGGATCCGATCCTGGGCACTTTGTTACGATTGACTGAAGTCGTTTTCACTTCAAGTATTACGGAATGCGTTGCATCAGATAGCATCCATTGGAGCCCCATGCTTCCTTGTTATTAAGTGATTTGAAAATTCTAGATCCATGAGGTTCGTATTCTATGCATTTTTTTCTTGCTTCTTTCGAAAACATGGGTGTTAATCCTCATGTGTGAATCGTCTTCTCTTTTATGTTAAGAGTACAACAGTATCACTCTGGAACTTATTCTTTCCTGTGAAGCTTGAGTCCTATGAGTTTCACTTATTCCTAACATCACCAAGTGGTATTTCTTCATTTCCGTAGCTATTCGACCGGTCATGCCGGTTCCCACATTGTCCGGACATCCCACGTACCTATATTATTAGTTTTTCTTTGGTTTTCAGAAGAAGGGTCAGCCTCGTGATTTCTGAGGAGTCTCAGCTTACAAGGTGAAACGTCATAATTCGTGTGAAGATCTTTCGACTCACAAGACAAGTTTTGAATGATTTACAACGTTTTCCTCCAGCTAGTTTTTTTTAGCAATGTTGCTTACCACATGCACAACTATTATCCCTTACTCCAGCTTGGAATAAGCGGTAATCTCCGAAGGACTATTGGCGAAGTTTTAAGGCTCATCACGGTTTGTGATTGATCCAACCTGGTGTTTACTACAGAAATGTGAAATCTGCATAACTACTTATTTATTTTGAAATACTATATCTGACTGAGCGTGTGATAATCAAATATATTAGTTCAGCTGTAACTCATACCGTTCTCTGTTATGTGATTAATTCCCTCCTTCAAACTCAAATATTTTCATAACCATTCATATAGTATTCAATAATGGCTTGCACTGGATTATGCTACGTATATGAAACTTTACTCGTATTCTATTTCACAGTTGTATGGACATTTATGCATACTTATTGACGTCAACTTACCATCCTTCTATACACTTTAGAACCACTTAAAATAGGTTATTGTTTGGTATTGTCAAAAAAACAATACTTTTCGATTAGAAAACTTGTTATATATCAAATTCTTATCTGAGTTTCACAGGTCCTATTTCGCACGTTAATCGATCGCCATTTTCTTGTATTCAGGGTCAACAGTCATTCATTTAGCTCCAGATGATACAGCATCGCTTCTGTATTTGGTTCGTTTCCAGGGGAATAGCATACTGAGAAAAAACTACCACTAACATTTATACATAATTTTTATTTTGTGCTACCTGGTTCAAAGGATCATAAAAATGATAATAATATACAACCGGACTTCAAATAGCTTGTTTCTAGCGATCATAAGGCTACAGTTGGAATAGCTTCAAAAACAATGCAGATGAAACCGACATCCATAAACCACTGTTCTTATATGAATTCGCACGTTGTTCATATTGTGTTAAGAATATTTATTCAAATACTTAGATGCCACTGACGTTAAACAAGCAAACTTGGGTACTAAAGTTATTTGGTAATAGGTAAGCTCGCTATAGTGTTTGTATATTACCTAGTGTAACTAGTAGACAGTTATTTGAAGTTGAAACTACATGGGATAGGGCGCAATACAGGAAAGGAGTTGTATTGAGCTGGTTTGTGTATTGATTAATTCATTTAGATTGTTTATTTATTGACGACGGCTCCCCCCTAACCAATAAATATGATAGTGAGAAAATTTCCAAGATCAACTTAACGACTACTGGTACAGAATGCAGATCTCCAGGGCATAACATGGACGGTAAGTAAATTTTGATTATACACTCTAAATTTTTTGTATCATTTATACAACAAAATGGAGTGAAAATGTAGCAACGCATAACAAAACCAAGTAATCGCGATACAGTCATGCAACAATATAAGTGGAAAAGAATAGGTCCGGGATGAATAAAAAACACATGATATACAACACGACAAAACTGCGAGCAGGCGGACGAAAAAACAGAACTTCAATTATCTACTGGTAATTATCACACATAGGACAACTAAAAGTTTAAAAAGGAACCCAGATAGAGAACAAAGCAAAAGAAGCAAAGTTATGATAAAAATGAATTTATTGACTTTTATTCATCAAAAGGATACAATCTATTCACTTATGGAGTATACATCAATTTACATCCCCAACCAATAAGTCGAAAATAGTATATATGTTGTGTCATTATACATACGTCGATAAAGGATTTTGTCCAAGGCGAATTGAAATGAGAGTAAAAATGAATCTTGAATGGATAAGAAATAAAGAGAATAGCAATAAAATACACCAGGAATTTGTATATAAACCCAAATGATTACCTACCTACTTAAAATCATAATAATCCTTTTCCTGCTAAATAACATAAGCTTAACAGTTTCTTTTATCCCGGAATTAAACTGATTTTTGAATATGTTAAATTGATAGTCATTATAATAGAATTTACTGAACTCCGCCTGTAGCACGTCTAGAGTTACTGCCGGTCCCAAGCCCGGGTAAAGGAGGAGAGTTGGGCATGGGATTAACGACCCCATCCCGTAGAAAAACTAACTCGCTAAAAAAACGCTAACCATGGTGAGTGGCCTATGCTCCTTCATGAAGGGTAACAGGCGTAAGTAAGTAAACAGATTCTTAAAGGATTTGTCAAGTAAGAAGAAACGTGTAATGAAAATGTCGTAGACAATATGAAACTAATTGAACATTGTAAACCTCAAAAAACAAGTACTTGAAAGTAAACGATTCATATAGACTCAGTAAACAATCGAATATCTCAGTTGTATACACAGGGATGTTATTCATTTGTATCTTCATTTCAACCACTATTGGACTGGGATTTGTATGGTTACAAATGTCGGGAAAAAACATACACAAAACAAAGAATTAATAAATGCAAAATATTTAAAAAAGAAATGACAACACAGATGAAGCTGTAATTTGAGTTAAAAAACAAACGATATGTTGAGGGGGGGACTCGAAACAACAACTGGCATAGAAACTGTAGTTGCCAGGTAAGAAATGAAATCGGATTAAATGCAAATCAGAAGATAAAATAAGAATCAGTTGGATAGTGAATAAAAAAATATGGCTCAACTTCCATTTTCTATAGTTAATTTCAGTATTATTTCATCGTATTTTGAAATTGCATAAAGCTGGTCCAAGAAATTGTTTCCAATCGAAATCGGAATTCCTTGTATAGGAACATGAATTTGGTATTGGTGGATTAATTAAATTCCATCGACGATTTTCTTGAGCTAATAATAAACCACAATAAGGAACAATTGATGTACGATGATGAAATTCATCTGTTGATAAACTATTTCTAAAACCATGACAAACTAAATGACGTGTACAAGTGTCCAATGAAGATGCATGTGCCACAATTAATAAACAAGTATCTGAAAAAAATGAATAAAATTAAAAGTAGAGCAGAATGCTGTAATAATGAAACACGATATTCATGGATAAAATTTCACACTCAATCGTAAGGTTCACGTTGTTACATAAGATGACTACTACAGGTCATGTTATTACTTTATAATAGAATCTTCAATAACCTGGTGCACAAACTACTGAAACAAACAAGGTAAACAAAGATGGATGCCAATTAGAGACTAACCAGTTGCAGTCCTAATACATCGATGGAAAGATTCAAACAAACAATACTAAATGAATTTTACTGAAACGAACGCCTAAAAAGGGGGTTGATTGGCAAACCATACTTAAAGTTTATTGTAAAAATAAATTATAACGATATATCTTCTGATTCAATATATTTCTGAAAGAAACGAACTATGAACTCATAGCTTAGTCAAATGATCATGATAAATTTTCACCATTCTGACTACGAACACAATAAGTTATGTTATTTTCCTACTAGAGTTAATGAGAAAGGGAAACTATTGCTACATTAAAAGCACAAAATATGAAACACTGAACTACACCTTAGTGGACATATCATATTCCCTGAGAAACCTATAGGTTCGGAGTTAAATCTCATTAGCGGTATTTGTTTATTTGAACACATAAACATCGGTACAAGAAGACACCAAATACATATGCGCCACATGAAAAATTTCATTTGCTTTGTGTGAGGGCTGTGATACTGCCCAGGTGCCCAACACGAAGCAGGTGGTTTTCTTAGGAGGCCACACCCAAAGCCTTTGACCTAAAAGTCTGATCCACAAGGCAGTGGAGCATCGTAAGGAGATGTAGTCCCATGATAGCCGGTGACCAACAATTGGTTTAAACGCCATTTGTTCCATCAGGATACTGGAGCCCATGTCCACCATTGGTTTGGAATCAGGGTTTTCCAACTCCCCTAGGTGAACTTTCTGTGTCCAACAACCCGGTTAAAGCGCCGGATATTCCCTTTTCGTCTTCTCGATTTCATAAACAATAGTAATGCCACGAGAAGGCAGTGAGTAGGACTTCCCTGACAGAGGCTATAAACGCGTGGCTTTGTGAGAGCATTTCGAGAGGGAGAGCGGACTCTCTTCACTCTCGGCCGTACCAGGGCATTTGAAGGCCATTTCTAGATTACCACGTAAATAAAGCTCTGTTTTATATGCCTAATGTTATTTACTTTTCTTTAAGCCAAGCTACCAAACAATCGTTCAAACTTGACATAACCAACCGATCGAATTCACATGTTCTAGTCATTAGAATTGAAATATTATAATAAAATAAATCTAGCAATGTGTAATCTTTCTTAGTACATATACATTTTAGAAAAGAACAGATACTAAACATCAAAAATACACTGGATATGACATGATAAATTAGAATGTGATGTGTGGAAGATAATTCAGCATAGTTCATGTATATACATGAAAATACACTTGTAAAGCATGACAAAACAAAACATACCTTTCGACTTATGAACATTTAAAATACGTTTAATTAATACAGCAGTACGATCACAATAGCCTTGAATAGATTCATACTTATCATTATCATTATACGAGCTAAGTGGTGTATAATTTGTATCCACATTATAACCAGCATGCTTTAATTGATGTACAGTCATCATTTTCGGTATACAACCACCGACATACCAACCATACCATTCAAATAAATGTGGTTCTATACGAATTGATAAATCTGACTACAAAGTAGCAACAACAATAAAAAGATGAAAGAAAATCAAGCACAGAAGCAAAAACGTTTATAACCTTACAACAGTAATGAAGATCTGCGAGTATATCTTACAAGGTATTCGCCCCCCAATGCCCTGGTACGGCCGACAGTAGGGAGAGTCCGCCCTCCCTCTTCAAATGCTCTCGTATGGCCACGCGTATATAGCCTCTGCCAGAGAAGACCTACTCACTGCATTCTCACAGTGGCCTGAGTGTTGTTTACAAAATTTAGAGGACGAAAAGCGAATGTCCGGCGCTTTAATCGGGTTGGTGGACACGAAAAGTCCCTCTAGGGGAGTTGGAAAACCCTGATTCCAAACCGATGATGCATAAGGGCTGACTCCAGTATCCTGAGGGAACAAATGGTGTATGAATCAATCGTTGGTCACCGGCTATCATGGAACTGCATCTGCTCACGATGCTCCACTACCTTGTGGATCAGATCTTTAGGTCAAAGGCTCCGGGCGAGATTTGTGTGGCGCATATGTATTTGGTGCTTTCTTGTACCAATATTTATATGTTTAAACAAATAAATAATAAACTAGGTATTCACGAAGTGTTCTACATTTTAATAGCAATTATAAAGTTTTAAGTCTTGAATGAATTGTTTATTATTTTGAGTTTTACATCAGATTAAAGTACATAAACTCACAATGCAATAGCGATGGGTTGTGGCGAAAGTAAACGTGATTAGTCACTGGGTGTGAACAAACAACCACTCAATTTAATTACCACTAACTATGTGATTTTCTTTCCTTTATATCGATTTTTACTTCGAATTCACTCAAAGTGACTGTTTGTAATTGTTTGGAGTAAATTATTACTTTGTGTTACTCTGGTTCTCTGTTCCCGGTCGTGAATCATATATCTGGCTTAACAAGATCTAATCTACTTATAGTGTACCGTTCAACTATCCAATCTACCGGTATTATAAACTCAGTTCAGTCTTATTACTATAGTACAGTGGTATGCCACACAAGTGTTTGAATCAATAAGTCACAATTTCATAGAATAAAAAGACATACAGATGAATTTTAGGTGGTCCATTCACTAACAAATTAAAAGAAAATGAGAATGTGCGAAATGCATCCAACTCACAATACTCTTCTCAGTTTTATACGTATAATCACAAAAATAAAAAAAAATAAACTTTAACATATATCAGGGAACTCCTGATCACTGTATTCTTGCTGTGGGGGTGTTTACGAAGTCAAGAGGATGAACAGAGAATCTCTGCCGCTTCTACCAGGTTAGTGGGTATGGAAGATCTTCGTAGCAGAGTTCGAAAACCCTGATTCTAAATCAATGGTGCATATGAGTTCTGGGATAATTAGGGAGCAAATGGCGTATGAACCCATTGTTGATCAATGGTTACTATGAGATTACATCTAACGTTACTGCACTGTCTTGTGGAACGAAGACTTGGACAGGAGAAATCAATTGCATTATGCAAAATAACAGTGTCCTTGTAAAATATGAAAACAATGCATCAAATACACTGTTTGAACATTTTTTTAAAATTGTCTCTTACAAACTACACTGTTTTTTTATACCTGTTATTACTTTGATTGCTTTCACTTAGTTTTCCTCTTTGTCAGTACAGTTTTTACTCTTAATGTTCGATACATACTAATTATATCGGTTCGTATAAGTAGCAAATACCATATATAATGAGTAATTCTTAAATAATTGCTTTACCTCGTTTCCAGACTTCCCTAGTAGCGAGCTGTCATGTAGTTCATTGAATCGTTGATAGATTAGTGACCTTTCGTAAATTACAATAAGTTTATTGTGTACCTATTAATCAGCATTATATTTTAGAAGACCTAGTTTTGAACATACTGTAATTTCATATTCATGGCGTGCTGTAGTGTTGCAATTGATAGATACAATGTGTTTTTGATTTATACAATAAAAAAAGTCCAGTGGGTGACTTTCGTCTTATTCTAATCAGGGCACTGAAGGGAGGTGAATTCATGTGGATTAATCAAAGCATACATCGTATCTGTAAGTAGTGGGCATAAGTGTAGTGAACAAGACACGACTGGGGGACAATCAAATGTGTTTAGACACAAATTATAGACTATCTGACTAAATTCTGTTAACCATACAGCAAACAGTTAATTTGCAAATTAACAACCAATGGTCTCAGTTTTCATTGTTCCTTCTGTAAATATCAGTTCATCTTCTCTAATTCCATTGTTCATGCATTTACCTTATGAGTCTTCTGCCAAAATACATTGTACGTCTAACCAACACCATATACTACTTATATGGATATAAGTAGACCACACTACATTAGTATCAACGGCATGAGACTAACCTTTAGCAGGGATAAGAAAATTTCATAATAGTGTGTACGTAAAGCAATGAATATTAAGAATCAAGTCATTACGCATTATGACTAAAACTATTATCGAACACAGGGTGACGACAGAAAGAGTATAGGTCAGTAGTATATGGCAATTAGTAATAAGATAATCAATGACACAGGAATCAAGGCGAAAATTCAACAAATTAATAGTTTACGAGAATTTAATACAAAATATTGTCAGAAGGGGTTTTGTGGAGATTTCAGTATTTTTCATAGTTGAAATCATGAGTCAATTGAAGCTAGACCACCACGGAAAACCTGGAAGCACTGGACGGCCGTTTCGTCCTATCATGGGACTCCTCAGCAGTGCGCATCCACGATCCCGCACTCGCGAGATTCGAACCCAGGACCTACCAGTTTCGAGCCAGAGCCCTTAACCGATAGACCACCAAAGTATTGTACTTTATAATTTCGGGGAATAACCTTACAATAAGACACAATCAACCATAACATTGGTTTACACGATGCAAGTTACTATTCACTTATTAAATGATAGGCAAAAAATAGGATCTATTGACTGACTATTCTTTACGAAAAGTGATATTTTTTGACCGACAAATGAGATTAAAAAATTCAGACCAGTCTATTTAATAATAATGTGAAGTTTAAAAGGACAAACATTCTCTCGCTATACGTGATGATGCAAACAATATATATATAAAACCTAATTATGATGATTCTAGCAACCAATATTCTAACCTATTACTAGATTACTGTACCGAATATTAATTATGTAAGAATGAACAACATATACTTCAAAGCGTAATGAGATAAAGCTCAAATTGTAAATAAAACACTTTCTATGAATATATTATAACATGAAAAGACACCCACACGACCCATTGCCCGTAATAATTCACAAGCAGTTTGAACACATCTAAATGCTGGAGAACAATAACACGCAGTGAAATAAACTCCAGCATCTGCCAAAGCTCTACCAGTTTCAGCTGATACAAATAAACCAATTTGAGTAATTGGTGAATCTAAAATATATTCAAAACAATCCGTTCGAGTAGGTAGCCAAGGTGGAAGGTTTAAATTGAATCTACGATAAACTCCTGCAAAGAAAAAAAGAAATGATGATTTTGATAAAAAAAAGCTTGGACAATTAAAGGCATAATGTTTATTTATTTACTTATTAGAACACATAAATATTGGTAAAAGGAAGCACCAGATATATATATGCACCGCACAAATCTCATTTCATTTGTGTGAGGGCTGTGATACTGCCCAGGTGCCCAAACCAAAACAGGTGGTTTGCTTAGGGGGCCACACTCCGAGCATTTGACCTAAAGGTCTGATCCCCAAGCAATGGAGAATCGTAAGGTGATATAGTCCCATGGTAGACGGTGACCAACGACTGATTCATGCACCATTGGTTTGAAATCAGGGTTTTCCAACTCACCTAGGTGGACTCTCCGTGTTCACCAACCCGGTTTAGGCGCCGGACATTCGCTTTTCGTCCTCTCGATTTCGTAAACACCCCGGCCACTGTGAGAAGGCAGTGAGTAGAACTTCCCTGACAGAGGCTACATACGCGTGGCCATATGAGAGCATTACGAGAGGGAGGGCGGACTGTCCCCACTCTCAGCCGTAGCAGGGCATTTGGGGGCAAAGGTGTGATGAAGAAGGATGACTAAAGAAATAGATAAAGGCAACGCTAGCAAAATAAGGTTATATAAATTTAGCAAGAAAATTCATCTAATTGGGTGACATTTTGTTTGGAGCTGACACACAAAAGAGCTGAATGAAACACTGTAAGACCTAAACAATAATTTAGGTATCTATTACAAAGAGCAAATAATACACCGACTATTACCCCTTGATGTCTCTCGTGTTATTGGTTTGTTATTACTAAGTTCTTTGATAAAATGAAAGCAGGTGAAAAAAACTGGTGAACAGTTGCTCAACTTTGTGGATCAGTTGAAGTTAGACATTAACGTAGTTGGATACCAGCCGGCTCAGTGGTCTATCGATCAAGTGCTCTGGCGTGAGACTGGTAAGTCCTGGGTTCGAATCTCGCAAGTGCGAGATCGTGGATGCGCACTGCTGAGGAGTCCAACAATAAGACGAAACAGCCTTAAAGCAGTGCTTCCAGGTTTTCCATAGTGGTCTAGCTTCAATCGACTCACGCTTTCAACTATGAAAAATCCTTTTTATACATTATACTGGACATATATGATAGACAATATATTAAAACTAATGAATATAGAATACCTTTATGATTGAAACATTGAGTAATCCATCCATGACCAAAAGTAATATCTACACGTTCAGCATGACGCATAACATACATTTGTCTTGACTTATTCTGAGTATGACGTTTAACTGATGATTGATAGTTATTAGTATTAATACATTTAAGATTACTTTCATTTAATTCATCATTAGTTAATGATGATTGGAATTCATTATGACAAGTTGAATTTGCACCATTAGTGAAGTATAAATCACATCGATGATCAGATATGTGTTTGTCTGTATTATTATTATTATTATTACTATTATTAGTCGTTATGGTTGTTTGTACACTTGATTTACTCTTTACAGGATCACTAGTAGAAGATGATGATGATGATGATGCTGATGATGATGATGAGAAAAAAGAAGAGGAATGTTCTGATGAATTTGAAAGACATGGTGATAGGATAGGATAAGTTGAATTTGTACTTTTTGCAATAAGACTTGAATTTTGACTTGATAGCTTTTTAAATTCTTCATTATGGTTTACATTATTCTAAGGAGAAAAAGTTTAGAAAAAGAAATAGAATAACGAGTTTCATCATCACACAAGATATTGAAATTATTTGGTAATAGTTACGTCATTGTTTACAGCTCTGAAGTTACACAATACTGGGTTCATAGAATGACCGTTAGGATACATGTTAAGTTGTGGTAAGCAAATGACAGGAAGCTATGAACATCAAGAAGGCGCGTATCTAATCAAGAGAGAATCAATGATATCTATAATGAGGAGTGGGGGACTAGCACGAAACCTAGTTACATAGTCTTCTGTCTATTTCAAACAATCATATACCCTCAAAACATAGTATATACAACGTCGGATCACTTAGATTAATAACAAATGCTAAATTTAGTACTTCCTTTAGCAGTTTGCGATAGAGATTTATGAAAGTCCTTTTGGATAAAGAACTTACACAGCAATCAAACTATTATTATTGTGTTAAGGAACATATTGAATAACCAAATCGAAGGTCCGCAAGTACTCATTTCATGTTACCGCTAACTGTGTTTACAAATTTAGGTATACCTATGAAAACAGCTACATTAGCAGAACAGAAAAGACGGGATATTTTAGATTTTTCGAATATGCTCCTAAAAGCCTTTGTTTATTATTATTATTTAAACACATAAATATCAGTAAAAGGAAGCACCAAATATATATGCGCCGCACAAATCTCATTCGATTTGTGTGAGGGCTGTGATACTACCCACGTGCCCAAACCGAAACAGGTGGTTTTCTTAGGGGACCACACCCGGAGCCTTTGACCGAAAGATCTGATCCATAAGGCAGTGGAGCATTGTGAGGAGATGCAGTCCCATGGTAGCCGGTGACCATAGATTGATTCATACGCCATTTGTTCCCTCGGCATACTGGAGCCCATGTGCACCATTGGTTTGGAATCAGGGTTTTCCAACTCCCCTAGGTGAACTTTCCGTATTCACCGACCCGGTGAAAGCTCCGGACATTCGCTATTCGTCCCCTCACTTTCGTAAACAACACTCCCGCCACGAGAATGCAGTTAGTAGGACTTCCCTTGAAAAGTGTATAGATATTCACAGAAGAACTAATAATATCTCTGAGACAGTCAGCAAGTTTACGACATTGAGTGAACTTAATTAAAATTTTTAAGTGTAGATTAAATTCAAGACGTGGAAGCTATAATTAACTACAACAAAAAAAAGAACATGACAGGACATGGAAAAAATAAGATAGTATAAGAAATATTCTAAATAAATTGTTTATTACATAATGGATTACTTACCGTATTAGTTGGACAATTTTGTTTAAGGCATGATTTAGCTGGAGAGGTTAAGTTTAGTGGGACGGAACTTTTAAAAAAAAACAACGTGAAATTACCTTTTTATTATTATAATTCATATATAATGTATTGATGAAAGCATGATAAATAAAGCATTAGATTTAATCTTAGTAAATTTATTTTGGTTTCAAGATGTAGTAACAAAGATGTAAGCTATCACCAATATTTGTGGATACGTTTAAAAAGGCTCTAGTCAGGTCGAAACGGGAGATGATGCCAGATGAAACACAGCCGAACCACACCTAATGATACGTTGTCAGAGCAGAAGTCCTCAACAGAGATCCTCATGGGAAGACTGAGAATGATCCACAAGCTGATGTTTCTGAGAACCAAACCACCACAGACTAACACCCAGGAGCTTCCAATGTATGAGGTTGGGTGTCTGGTGTTTGCTCGTGACTACAGATCAAACGATGACCTCTGGACTGAAGCACGTGTGGTTAGAAGGTTAAGTCAAGTCATGTATGAGGTAGAATTCGATAGAGACAGGTGGACTCGACACCGAAACCAATTACGGAAACGGCTAGCTCCATATCGTCCATCGACAAAAGGAAATCTACCGCCCAACATCCTGTTGGATACTTCCAATCTATCTGCAGTTCTTACGTAAGAAGAACAACAACAAATAATTCCACGTTCCAGAAGGTGGTCACTTCGACAATGGAGACAAACGGTCAAGATGCAAGGGGAGGTGTCAGAGATGCCAGATTGCCAGAAATCACTTGGAAAACGTTTATTTTTGTAATTTTATTTTGGAAATCTGAGGTTCTCATTTACGCGCCAAAAGCGCACACTTTTACATTCAGATTGTATTTCCCACCTGGCAGGACCTGAATTGTCATAGGTTTGTTCCCTCTTTTGATACACTATTCTGTAACGTTTACCAAGGACATTTTTATGTTGTATATATACGCTTGAGTTGTGTACCTGTTTGTTCTTGCTTCTGGTTGCATATGAAATATACCTTTCCCTCTGTTGAACCTGATCTTCTTCCTTCAGGTAGCGGGGCTACGGTACATTAAAATAGGTTAGATTGTCTTGTCGTTGTGTTGTTGATCCTTTGCTCCATTCGCCGATTTTAGGTGATCTCGTAATCCCTTCGAGCAAAGCATTGTCCGAGGGAAACACTTTACTGCTGTCACACATCTATATAGTCAGAAGTACGACTTCGCCCTCAGGCATTAAGTTCCTACTTTTAGTCTTATCGTTCTCCAACCGACCTGCCTGAAATGGTAGATGATGCGAACAGAGAAACAAGAAGCCTTGACAAAATATGGGAGCTATTTCTGGGGACGTTATTTCATTTAATTCAAAGCTTGTAAAACAGTAACATCTACTTTTGTCCCTAGTCTGTTCTACATATCATAAGCTTTCGTTTAATGTGTTTGATGCCATAGGCTTTTCTGTCCCAAAACTATTGTAATTTAAACGTAATCTTTGGTACTCGATTTTCTACTCTAATCTCCAGTTTTGGACATAGTTGTATTTTCCTAATTTTTGTGCGTTGTGGTCAGGTTACTCATGTATCTTTTTACACTAATCTGAAATCGGGAACCAGATCGGAATTGGGAATAAATCGAGTAGTGTTCCATTTGACTTTATCTTCTCTCTCGAGAGAGAGAGAGAGTGTGCTTGTCAGCCAATCAGGCGACAGAATAGTTTTCGTTTTTCTATCCCAAGCAGTTGATATCACTTTCAAACCCACGCATACTAACCTCAAGGCTAAGCCAGTCAGCCTATCGCGTCAAGGTCTTAATCTACATTAGACAAGTTATCCTCTGCACGAAAGTTGGTAGACAGATCAAGGAAGTAACAGTAGAACCTAAAGGAACATGTGTTTCAGACGATATAGCTCGGTTACGTCATCGTGATAGGCAACCCTGACCATCACCCCAACGTTGTAGCTGCGGTCAGATAATCTGCATCGGTGCACGAACGTCGAAGGAGACGAGTTAAATGGCACACGTGATCTTAAAAAGGCTGTATCAGGAATATTACGGACTCTAAAAAATAAATATTTTAGGTTGTATCAAATGGGATTAGCTATATAGACGACAACGTCAAGCATTAGTTGTTGATTAGAAAATATTGCTGAGGTTTTAACTACAACTATTATCCTTCCATAGAGGTGTATATACATCGATGTTATCATAAATACTTTTTGATGAGAGCTAAAATTCTCTCTCGACTCAGTAGTATATTGTTTAAAGTGAAAATAAGTTTCTAAGCACTCATTTCATATCCTCATCCAATACTAAGAAGCTGTATACAAATTATATGTATAATCTCTTCATTACTCAAGATGAAGTAGTGGTTTTACTGAAATGATCTCAACTCAATATTCTACAGTTAAATTCATTAACCTAGACTTAAAACTGTGTATATAGTGCGATATCGATTCTCTAATTAGAAAGATATGAGGAGTTCCCTGCCATCTTTAAGTTTCTTATACGTTAGGTGTATAAAGTGGAACAGAGAATAAAATATCATATATAATAGTGAATAAGGCTTATAATAACAAATACTAAAGTATTCTCAATAGGTTTACCAAGTTAATGGTCATGAATCTTCATCGACTGGGATGGTTGGGCCACGTGTTACATATACCTGAACACCGATTACCACGACGCGCTATGCTGACTAGTATTGGCAATGGTTGGAAGAAAGTTAGGAGCGGTCAAACCAAAACGTGGCATCAGAGCATGAAGTCACTAACTTCTAGTCTGAGCCATGTTGGCAGTTAGTAAAAATAATACCCTTATAATAAACACGAAATAATATTTTTAGACAGAACTATATACAGAAATATGATATACAAATTTAACTCACCAATGTAATGTCCAAGTTTGACTTTGTGGTACACGTCTACCAGCAGATATGTTAAACAAACCAGACTCACCAGTGCACAAATTAATTCCCAATGGACATCCTTGTCGTTCATTAAAAGAAACTGAATCAAACAGTAATATATAATCACCAACGTAATGTTCTAGAAAACGTTCTCGACATCCAGGTGAATTAATCGCACAGACAGGAACTTGATTCGAAGATACGTCACATTGTGACTGACTGTTATTAGAACTATCTGTCAATTTAGTATTACAATTAATAAAAGTTGAAGATTTTTGATCACCGCTTTTATTATAATCATTAGTGATATGTGGATTGATGAATGGGGAAGATGAATAGGATTCTAGATCTGTTAACATCTCGAATACCTATCAAAAAGGAAGATAAATACAGAATTCAAGAACATGTATATTTCATTTACAGTGGTCTTATTAAGATTTTTTAGTAATTTGTATTTTTTATAGCCCCCAAATGCCCTGGTACGGCCGAGAGTGGGAAGAGTCCGATCTCCCTCTTCAAATGCTCTCACACGGCCACGCGTATATGGCCTCTGACAGGGAAGTCCTACTCACTGCATTCTCGCACCACGGGTGTTGTTTACGAAATCGAGAGGACGAAAAGGGAATGTCCGGTGCTTTAACCGGGTTTGGTGGACACGGAAAGTTCACCTAAGGGAGTTGGAAAACCCTGATTCCAAACCAATGGTGCACATGGGCTCCAGTATGCCGAGGGAACAAATGGCGTATGAATCAATCTATGGTCACCGGCTACCATGGGACTGCATCTCTTCACGATGCTCCACTGCCTTGTGGATCGGACCTTTAGGTCAAAGGCTCCGGGTGTGGTCCCCTAAGAAAATCACCTGCTTCAGTTTGGGCACGTGGGCAGTATCACAGCCCTCACACAAATCGAATGAGATTTGTGCGGCGCGTATGTATCTGGTGCTTCCTTTTACCAATATTTATGTGTTTAAATAATAATAACGATAATGATCAAATGTATTAATCATGACATAGCAGTTATCCAACTAGAGAAAATTATATCCTTCATCAGAATTAGCTATACAGCTATCCTGAATTACGTTATCTATAGATTATTAAGTAATATCAGAAGGGCCGAACAACCATATTACAATACTAAACAGCCTATAGTATGAAAAGGAATGTAAATGATGTTATAAGGATTAGTACTTAAACGGGAACTTTAACTGTCAAAGAAATTGTTGCACCGAATGAAAGATTCAGTAGACACCCGACTTAGAGATCAACAGGTTGGATTCCATAAGGAACGGGTCGTGTCTAGAACAAAACGCGACACTACGAATCATTATTGAACAATTAATTAAATGGAACTTGTTACTATACATCAACTTCCTTGATCATGAGAAAGCATCTGGAATCATGAAGAGAAAAGAAAAAGAGGAAGAATAGAAAACACGTTGTGTTGGGAATTGGAGGCAGGCATCAAAAGAGTAGCAGTTGGAAAGAAGAGCCCAAGATAGAATTGGTTAGAGAACCCTGGTCAGTAGCCTATACTCTCATGAGAGATACAGAAGTAAGTAATTAATTGAACTACAGATGCATGACTTTAATAACGTGAGATGAAACACTTGAGGGATCGAGATGATAGTAATAAGTTACTGAAATATAACAGCCTACAGAAAAATCAAGTTATTTTGAGAAATACAATCAGACCTATAGGTAGTAGGGATTATTTAGAAATCATCATGAATTGAACAAATGTTGTTTAGGATTCTTTGAAAGCCTAGACTTAATGTAGAGGTTAAACCACTTCCATTATAGAGATGTAATCCATATTTTGCAAACTAAGTATTTCACCGCTAAGATTGAACGAAAATTGGTGTAAATTACTAAACATACTATGATAAGAACTGGTTTTCTATACCTTACAATTGAAATGGTTTTATGTTAATGGGAAACAAAAGACGAAGTGTTTTAACTAACTAAAGTGTTCAATTAGGTAAAGGAGCCAGAAATAATTCCTACCGACTACTTTTCATTACTCTAGTTTGATTATTTTGTCTGGTTAAAGCACTCGGCTTTTTAACCGAAAGGTCGTTTTTTTCGCACTTTACTTCATCTACTCCTGTTTTGGCAACCAGGACAAGATCGCTAGTTTTCAAAGACAGATACATAAACCTGTACTTGGTATGTAAATCAGATTAAAATTAGTACTACTATTCTACCACTATTATCTATAAAGTAAGATGCTAAGTTAATAAACTCTCAAAGCTTATATTTCAAAGCCATCTGACACTTGTGAATAGTCATGAAATTGCATAATAGGAGGTTTCGTATCTGAACGATGTTTCTTCGATTTAAGAGCGTATGAATACTTGTACATAAATGACTATACCCACATCTCTAGACATATCTTAAACCGATTAAGGCTATACAGATAATATAGTCCTATCAGATGAATATACTGAAAAGATTGGCATTCCGAACATTTTGCATTGAGAAATCTAGGATGTATTTCTGAACTTTCAAATATAAAAGGTCGTATGGAAACTGATCTACGTCGATAAATATTGTAACGATGGGAAGCCAGTGAGGATGCTCAACATCTTACTTGAGTAGAAATCTGCATCAGTCAGTGGTTGTAACTCAAACCACTAATCCATAACCAGTTCGTGTACTCTACTACTGATAGTCCCCCTCTTAAATTACAAGATATTTGAGGCCGTAAACAATATATGTGGCACATAAATCAGCAACGTCCCTTTGATTAACTTTATGCAGGCCAAAGAATAAAATAAAAGTAGAAAAGTCAATTAACATCAACAAAATACATTGTTCCAAATGCGAGAAACACTACATTGAACAAAGTGGGTGCTCTTTTCATTTTCATCTGCATAAGCACCAACTAGCAGGCGAACGCCACAATTTATCTTCACTTATATCAATGCATGAGGAAAATCCTGAATATAAATTTGACTAGACAAATGTTGAAATCTTGGACAGAGGGAATCGAGAGAAGTTGTAAGAACTTTTAGGAACTTGTCACTCAGCTCAATCACTAAACACATCAAAATAGACTCAATTTACCAATCGATTAGAAAAACTATGGACAACTATGGGATAAAAAATCAGGTCAAAGGTAGAAATAATAAAAATAAATATATAAACGATAGGTTAAAGGTCAGCAATAGCTAATCAAAATGAAGGTCAACGGAACAAGCTGTTAGCCATACGCAGAAAGATTCGAATACCTCACTTTCACCTGAAGTTTGTCCTGATGATGTTGTTCAGAGTAACAACAAAAGTTCGACGATCACATCATCCAGCTCAGAGAACGAAATTCCACCAAAATCATCTACATGAGCTACAAATCATCCATATCCTCTCAAAATATGACGGATTATTTTAGCATACATACATAATATTCTTTTTTGATACAACACACAAACCGAAAGGTTGATAACCTAGGATTTATATGCGCAAATATTTAATTATTTGTGATATGAAAACATACGTGCTTTTTCGAAACCATTGTATTAGAAATTAAGTAAAGTCAATATAATAAGCTAATCGTGACTGCATGTAGTTAGAGAAAGAAATGAATTGTATTAAAATTGTATTACTAATTCGTCGAAATAACTAGCTATCTAGTAGATTGTTAGGAATCTACAAAGCCTTAATGAAAATAGAAAAACTGTGGTAAATAATTAGGAAGCCATGTTGAGTGATATCACCTCTGAATGCGACACTGGGCGGTATACATTAGAACCGCACGAAAGTCTAGCTAATATGTGGGAACTAGCACGAAACCCAGGTCTAGTACTACAAAGATTTCATCCAATTGTCTCTGATTACTTAACATGAAGCAAAGTGCGACGTGAAGTTTAGTTTCTTCGTCTAGTAATCACACAGCACGTTCGATGACGGGGTTTCACCGGAGCTAAGAACTGAATGGAATAACGTTGATGATAATTCAAGGATCAACCAGTGTAAACATAACCGTTGCATTTTATTAAATCATATATATATAATGGACCTGAGGAAACGCATACCATTGCCGTTGCGTTTTCGTAAACCTCCAATAGTATAAGCAATTCACAGAACACTGGTCGACAATATTGTTAGATAGGGGGTTCTTTGAGAACTTACTTCCAATTATCACTTCATGTTTACTTAACTTCTGACTTAGTTGACTTAACAACACCCTAATATATAAAACTATTTTATATACACAACTAGTAAATATAAAACATGGATGAGACCGTAGGTGGGATCATTCAGCTAACTGACTGGGGACTTACGTGCTACCTTAACCAAATCAAGTCCGTATAAGTGAGCTTATTAAAAATTTAGAAATTATGCTAAGATTAAAAATACTAAAATGGGCAGGGTTTTGATACATACTGTTACGTAAGAGAGGATATTTGGAGAGAGCGAAACTTTTAAAACCGTTCCACGAAGAAATATGATGCACATGTTAGTATCTCAATTATTCACTATCGTTATATGTTTTGCCGTTCCTAAACTGTCGTTAAGTAATTATGCATTTATTACTGTATTTTAATGATGACCTAATTATGTGCACATTAGGATTCCTTTTTTATATTTCTGTGCAATCGGGTATTTATTGTATGTTGTAATGTCTTGAGTCATGGTGAATATAAAAGAATAAAAAGTACTTCATCTGACGATCCTGGCATTTTAACTGATCGTTAAAAGTGGAGAATTTTGGTGTGCTGATAAGAATGGAGATTTTGCTGAACGTTACCCACAGTCACTTGTCGTCAGTCAAATAATGTCATTGGTCTGATAAGTGTGAAGTGTACAGGAGCTCATTAGACTTTGCCCTTTGATCCAATTGGAAATCAATGGTGGACTGAAGATCATAATACTCCTATGATAATTCGTCCACTTAAAAAAAACCTGTTTTCTAGCAGATACCAGTTTGACAAAAATTATTTCCAAATTGAATTTGAGATGAAGAAGATTTGTATATCAGGTGGATGATTTTGGTGTTGTGTTCTCTGAGCTTGATGGTTTGGTAGTGGAGCTTTCAACGTTATTCTAAACAACGTCATCAGCACAAACCTCAGGTAGAAGTAAAGTTTCTACTGACGATGTCAACCAGAATAACGATGAAAGCTCAATGACCAAACCATCCAGCTCAGAGAACAAAACTCCACCAAAATTAAATTTATTTCCACAAGTCCTTTGTACCTTAATGATAACAATCAAGTCAATACATTAAATGGACTGTGAACTGTGAACGATATATTAATACAAAACAAATTATCGGGCTTTTCACAGTAGAGTAGGTAAACCTGAGTTAAAATTTGAAAATGTAGGATTTAGAGTCACGTATTTAAAATATTGAATTATTGCTCAAATTGCTGTTTGCAGGTATATACACATAACGGTCGGATAATTAGTGAACTTGAGTAGCAAAAAAAGTATATATTGATGCTTTAGAAGAGATGTCACTGTAACACTGATTTAAGATAAAAATTTAGTATTTTGAAAGATCGCGCGTCTAGCTTAAAAAATAAGTATGTGAATGCTGATAAATACAGTCAGTCAGTTACAACGTAGAACTTCGTACGTACGTACATCTGTTCGAGTTGCCATAACGTATTAGCACAGAGATGAAGTTGTCGATTCAAATCCCATATTGGTAGAAGTAGTAAGAGTATAAGTATTATGTGAAAGATAAGGGTTTGAAGATGTTACTGAAAGAGCATAATACGGTGAAATAAATTTGGAAAGAGAAGAAGGATAGGGACATGAGGAATTCAGAAGATTAGAATTTGGTAGAACACAAAGAGTGGATGCACCTTCGCCATTGCAAACGATTTTGAGCCATGTCATTCAAGGTCTCTAAGCATCGGTTGCTGTCATCTCGCGAATCCCAACCAGATAGTCTACACCTACCAACATGGCTCAGTCTACTTGTCAGTAAGTGACTTCATGGATTTGTGCCACGTTTTGGTCTGGCCGCCCCTAGCTTTCTTCCAACCTACTCCTATACCATAAAACATCGCTCATCGGAGCAGTCAGTGGTTGGGCATACGTAACACGTGTCCCAGCCATCTCAACTGATGAAGTTTCAGTACTTCATCAATCGATTTGCCATCTTTACCTAGTACCCGTTTCCTAACATCTGCATTACTTACCCGGCGGTCCCAGGATATACGAGCAATGCGTCGAAGACACCTATGATCGAATACTAGTAGCCTACGAATATCCTCTACTCTTATTGGCCATGTTTCACTGCCATAAAGTAGGACGGAACGAACTGCTGCACAGTAAACCCGTCCTTTGGTTGCTAGACGGATATCTCGCCTACGCCATAAATGACGCAAGTTGGCGAAGGCTAGACGCGCCTTCCGTATCCGTGCTGAGATTTCGTCACACACCAGACCACAAGGGCTGATGAGACTCCCAAGATAAGTGAAGCTATCAACACGCTCAACTACTTCACTCCCTATCATTAGTTCAGGTGTCGATGCAACCCAATCCTGAAGTAACATTTTGCACTTCGAGGGAGAGAATCGCATCCCGAACATGCCTGCATTGTTGCTTATAGTGGTCAGAAGACTCTGCATTTTGTCAGCGTCTTCACCAAATAAAATTATGTCGTCGGCGTATTCTAAGTCAACAAGTGAGTCTCCCGGTAAACGTTCAACTCCAGGAGATTGAGATGATGAAAGTGATATCTCTAAAAGCATGTCAACGACAAAGTTAAACAAGAATGGGAAGAGTGGACAGCCCTGACGAACACCACTTGAGGTAATCAATTCTGATGACAGTTCACCATAGGCTCTAACTCGACCAGTTGTGTTCGAGTAGAGAGCCTTTATGAGGTTAATGTACTTCTTTGGTACTCCTTTCACTGACAAACACTGCCATAGAACCTCACGATCAACGGAGTCAAATGCCGCCTTAAGGTCGAGAAATACTACTATTGTGGGACGTCTGAACGTATATCTATGTTCTAGGACCTGACGTAGAGTGGATATCTGGTCTATGCAACCACGTCCAGGTCGAAAAGCAGCCTGGTTTCCTCTAGTCTGCTCTTCACGAGCTTTGGTTAGGCGCTTAAGTATTATTGAAGCTAATATTTTAGACACTATATTAGTCAAACTGATTCCTCTGTGATTGTCACAGGAGGACTTTTGTCCTTTCTTATAGACTGGCACAATCAGTGATTGGGACCAGTCAGATGGAATTACGTCCAGATTCTACCTAGAACCTCAACAATCTCGCTGCTAATACTGTACCGCCGTCCTTAAAAATCTCAGGGGTAAACCTGTCAGGGCCGGCGGCTCTCCCTCGCTTTAGATTTTCTATAGCTTTTTCAACCTCGTAAAGAGTTGGAGGACTTACCTCAATTTGCCATTCAGGACGACTGGGGATCGTGGGTAACTGAAGTGTGGCTGAAGGCCAGTTGAACTGATCCCTAAAGTGTTCTGCCCATCGATCCAATCTCCTGGATTGAGAATGAATGATATGCCCATCTTTGTCTGAGATAGTTTCGCTAATAGTTGGGTTCCTAATGCCGGTCTCTTTAACAAGCCTGAACAGTTGTCTGCTGTTACCTATTGCTGCTGCCTTTTCCATCTCTTGCTTTCGCTACCCACCACTGTTCACGATCATTGCGTAGGCTTCTAATTAGCCTTCGCTTAAGCTGACTCCGCTCTTCGTTATGTTCAGAGCCAGGTGGGATGAGTTTTCGAGCATCTATCAGTGTGGTAGATGCTGCCGAGATCCATTGTTTCTCCCTGACCTCATGGCTTACCTTACTAGGGTGATAAATGCAATGGCCAATTAGAAAATCAAGTCCAAAGATTCTATCAAAACTGGTAAAAATCATTAGCATACTGATTGAAAAATTAACGCACCAGAGGCCAACAGTGCATACAGCAAAACCTGTATGCCTATAGTTTAATATATCCAAACTCTACCAACCAAGATGGAAGATGACTTATTTCAAATATCACTTGTATACATTCGGGTAATTCCTACCTCAGTCTGAGAGTTCGGGTAGTATCCAAGCCCTCACACAAATCATTCGATTTGTGTGACACATATCTGTTTGACGCCACCTTGTGCCAATGTTTGTCTAAATAAATAAATAAGTAGTTCGGTTTAGAAGAATCGTGAAAATTGTACTGTTTAGATCCACATTGTGATCATGTTGAACTTAATTCAGACACTCATCTTAATAGCTGAATAACTAAGCTTTCATTTGCAGTTCGCTAAAAGTCTATGAAAGTTTGAACAAAGAGAAGATAATCCCGAATTAGTGCCCACAGTGTACGGAAAAAGTCTACATTTGGAGTGGCAATCACAATTCCAGTAAACTGATAGCTTTAATGTTTGTGATATTCATATATGATATATCACGTTAATAAAATGCAATCTACAACAGCCTAACTTTGGAGCCATACTTAGCGATCTAATCGCTTATCAGTCGTAACGTCGAGTTACGATTTTGAACAAAAACAAATGTATATTCTAAAATACTATACTGCTCACTAATCGACTCTCTCAACTGGATATCTTTAATCAAGCTGTTGATATATTTTTATTGCAAACAAGAGGAACGACCACCCAAAGAAATATATTCCTGGAAAAGAAGTTTGATAATAAATCCCCAATAAATTCAGGAGTTTGAAGTTCTCAATTTTCATGTAAATGTATATGAAAGACAGAAACAATGAACGTACCTCATAACTTGGATCTCTCAGACGAGGATCATGTGAGTATAAACAGAATTTCAACTGATGATTAACCGATTGGTCGAATTCGTTAATAATGTAACGACCGGATAAGTACATTTCATTTAGTTGGTTCAAAACTGGATTTTTCTCAGCATTATTGATACTACTGACTAACGTGAAAGGATAATTTAATTTGCCTGGATTAGAAACCACGCAGACGTTTACGTCAGCTAGAAAAGATGGAATAGAAATGGAAACCAAAGACTTATTGTGTCACAAAAGTAAACAAGATTTACTGGGTCACTTTCCTGCTAATATTACGAAGTACTCTAAGTAGATAAGCAAAGTTAATGCGATACGAAACAAAGGTCAATTCAAGGAAGCATAACAAAACACAAAAGTACGAAAGTGCACCGCTGGAACCAACCGAAAGCCTATTAAATACTAACTATACTTAGCGAAAATGCTACACTTAATTCTACTTTGTAACTAAAACATAACTAGTAAATTTAAATGTATGTGGCGTACGAATGATTGATTACTAATTGTACTGCAGCATCGTTTATATGTAATTCAACTTACGCGTTAGCAATGTTAAGGTAAGGTGAATAGTTTTCACGATTATGCAGTTATGAAGCTGCAATAGCATATCTTGTTCGCCACAGAAATAACATTATTGCTTACTAGAGTTTCTATAAGGACAAGGTCTGAAAAACATAGCTAAAGTAAGGACTACTCACAAAAAAAGTTTTTAGGAGTGTTATTTTTGCCTGGAATTCAGGCCCAAAGTAAATGCTGAGAAATGTTCGAACCGTGTGTTGAGTTGGTAAAAATTTTCCATTAGCCAAAACTAATACTTCCAAGTACTACTCTCTGAATCTTACTGTAAAATATCCCCTTTATGTCATCTTGAGGATAGAAATTTCAAGGACATAGTCCTACAGAAGTCCATCTCGACACAGCAAGGCGTGTTCGCCAAACAGCCACAAAAACAGTAACATGATAGCAGTTCTAATCGAAAGATCAATAAATTTTACTGGATTTTGGAAGCTTTTGTTGGATGTACGGTTGCTTAGAAGCTTTTTTTGATAGCCTCAGTAAATTAATGAACCAAGATATCAGGGGTATTGAAAGCTATGAAAAATCACTAGTATGAAGAAATACTCAGATATCCTGTCTTCTTACCTTTCTTCAAGTTTTCAAGAAATGTTTCTGAAATTTTTTGAAGCAGGGTATATATCCTGGAGTCGGAAAATTTGCATACAACAGAGGTGTCCGTATCTACTATGAACTCTAGGGGCTTGTCATCAGTCAGTAGGAGAGGAATCGACAGACCAAACGATTTCACAAAAACAGATTTTAAATTGAGTGCATCATGAGGTTTGACCTGAAGATCACTATTCAACCTAGCATACTTACTCTCAGATGAAGTAAAGGGATTTGTGCCCGATGATCACATACATAGTCCCATCCTAAAGCAACTCGCGCAGCTGACAAAAATGACGAGGCATCCGATTCAAAACTTCCTCCCAGACTCAGAAGTACATGAAAGTCGATTTCAAAATCTTTGATGAAAAGTGGATCATTTAAGCGGGATGATATCCTGAAAAAATTACAAGACCTAAAATTACCATTCAGCTGCCAGACGAACTGAACGAAAGCCAGTAAAAACTGCAGCATATAGTCTAAGATGCTAAATATGAGAAATTTGGGAACGTACGCGTGTTTTGAAGGAAAGTCTGAGTTTTTTAATTCATCAATGATTTTCTGACCTCTATTAATAACAGTAAAGTCCAAAAGGCCTGGGGGCGAATCGCAAACTTCATCAGCCATCCGATGTAAAGTTGAGCCTTTGGTGGGTTTGCTTTTACCTTAGGTGTATGTTATGCACTGGAAGAGTGAACAGTAGCGTGCGAGAATCTGGAAGACGAAAGCACAGTGATTTGTAAGTGGGCTGACGACTGAGCAGACACATAGTGAACTTACGTTTATTAATGAAAGAGATTGACAACATAGATTAATAACACAGCAGCTATATTGAAGCAGTCAGATAACTGAAAGCATAATGTCGTGAATCAAGATCGACTACATCGAAACCATGCGCCGTGAGCGACCTACAAAGGGTCATTCGAAATGGTTCAAATGGTAAGGTTAGCTCGTAAGGTATTTTTGTCGCAGTTAGCGTGAGACTTCAGATTGTAGGGAACAAACTTTCCTGGATCTTTTTCAACTTGGGATATTTTCAGAGGGGAGTCGCCTAGGTTGTAATTTGCAACATGTTTCAGATGGAATACTTTACACTTGGAAGTGTTAAAGGTAAGTCGGTGTCATCTGCTTAACTTTGAAGTCCAGCCAGATCTTCCTGAAGGGCCAGTTTATCCTCTTGGTTGCATCCTTTTTCTCAGAGTTTCACATCAACAAAAAAATCTTATGACATCTGTTGTGGAAGATTGTTTATATCAATCAAGAAAAGAAGAGGTCCTAGTACTGAACCCTATCTGTCCACCACAGTCAGAAGGTTGATTTTACAGGACCGACCTTTTCTGAAACCGTGCTGTTGGGGTGAAAAGAAGTTTATGGATAGTAAATAGTCATATAGACCGTCGCATATCAGGGACTCCACAATCTTTGTGGGTATAGAGAGCAGTTCTACTGGTCAGTAACTTGAAGGTTTGCTGTTTCGACCCCTTTGAAAATTAGTGTGATGTGAGTCAGCCTCGGATTAGAGAGTTTGAGAAAATCACGCCAAGTTGTGTTGCCAAGATGGAAGCTGCTTCCTTCAGTATAGCACAACGGAACATATCCGCGTCAGAAGTGTCGTTTTTTGGGTGTTGCAGTTTTGGCTTACCGATTCAGCGCTCAGGTTCACTTCTGAAAGTGCCATGGATTTGCAGGTGAAGCTTCCATCAGTATAGTTAATGTGTGTTGATTGAAATGTCAGAAAGTACTGTCCTGAAAAAGGTCAGCGGCATCACATCTTTGTCGGTCGGGCCATTTGGATCTAACAGTTGGAAAACTCAATTTTCCGCTTGTCGAAGAGATGCTGAATGACGGAATAAGCTTTTCGGATTGGAGACAAATTCATCGATAAGCTTTATCTGATACTGAAATCTGTCTTCTGTTATTTCCTTTGTGCATATATTCCTTACCTGATTGAATTGCCTGTGTGCGCTGTTGTTACTAGTTTGTTTGTATTCCGCCCAGTATTGCATTTTGCGACCTAGTAATCGAACAGTGCGATTCCTGATGACTTTAGGCAGCTTGTATATTTTGGGGACTGTCAGCGGAACAGAATGCTGTGTAGCACATAAGAACGTGTGTAGTAAGAAATCTCAGTGAACATCCACATCAATTTGAGGGTAAACTTCCCGATCCATCTGTTGTAGATTGTTTTGTGAAGCTGACAAATCTAACTGTTTGAAATCCCAGCGCCTGTTGTCGATAGGATGTCTTAGCTCAGTTTTGCTGATAAAACTAAGGGTTATAACGGCGTGATAAGTCTTCCCTGAGGGAGCCAGGATTTAAGGGTTGTCAATTAGGAATTCTTCGTTCGTAAATACCCAGTCTAAGCGCGACGGTGTCTGACTGTTTCCTCACTGAGTTCCTGATTTGACATTTTCGAGTAATCCCAAATCTTCAATGAGGTTGAAGAACCGAGCTTAAGTAGACTTTTAATCTCCAATGTACGTATTTTCTGCGAAATTGACTCTAGGAAGATTGAAATCTCCTAGAATCAGGATATTAGTGTATCGGAGACGACTAGAGCAGGATAATCCTCCCAACATATGATTGTCGTACTCGATGTTAGAAGTGGGCTTTCTGCAGATGACTGGGACTAGACACATCGAGGTGGCAGACAATCTTAGTGAGCACCATACGAATTCGTCAGAATTGATATACTCTTGGTTGTGCACTTGATGTCCCGTCAAGTCAGATCGCAAGTATAAGACCACTCCGCCCTCTATTCCTGTTTTATGTGGTTGGGAAACAAAGATATCCCGAATACTGCTAGTACATGGTCCGGAAATTGAGATATCCAAGTTTCAGATACTTCTACCAGATGAGCCAAATTTGCATTACTGAGTTCGCTCAGCTTATTCATTTTCTTCGGTAAACTAGCGACGTTCATTTATGAGCAGTGTTATACCCCTGGTGAATTATGAATGGCAAATCTAAGGTCTATTTATGGACAAATGTAATATGCCTATTTCCCATTGCATAATTGTTACGTAATCAAACTATTCATATTCGTGTTTCTCTTATCATTAGTTTTATTTTAACCCTTGAACTATTATTATTGATTACTTTCCCCCTATTCACAGCCGCCTTGGCCAATTATTGTACAAATGTTATTTTCTATTTTATGGTACGATGAGGTCTGTTTGGTTGGTATATAAACCCAATATATTTTTGAATAATGATTAATACCACAGAGGTTGTTATTGGTGTTTTGGACTTAACTGGCTGGGCTAGGCAGATCGCAGGGCCGTTACGTACTGTAGACTGCTCGTACGGTTTTCTTGTGTCACTGTTCCAATCGATCATTCGCTGCTCCCTGATTGGTGGTCTTATCAAGTCATACATTAACAAGGCATCCACTCGGCCACAAGATATAACAAGGTGTACGCTTTCATTTTGAAACGCATGAGCTTTCTCATCCTGTTTATCTTATGTGAATGGATAGGTAGCCAACCTACATAGGGTTTTCCGAGTTGGTAGCCTCTATCCTTTCTATGTTTTATTCATGGTCTTCACGGTCCACAAGTGGAATAGACAGCTCCAATTTGCTTTTGTGCTTCATCCTGGCGTCATGTGGCTTAACCGGGTGCACATGGATTCTACTTGGCAACCGGCGTCTGTTGGTACGAAATGCTTCGAGAGTCGCAACCGCCACATAGGATGATGCGAAGGTCATCTTCATCAGCTGGGGTTTAGAATCACTGTCCTGCTTGGCTAGTTTCCCAACTTGTTCAGTCAATATGTTTTTGAGCCACAAGGATTGCTTAATGAATTTCCATTCCCGAGTATCATAGTTTGTGTGGTCAGGATCTGTGTTTTCTGGCACACCTTGCTCAATGATATTTCTTCAGCGAAAAAACGTCTCACGAGACTTACGAGGAATGTTCCTGATGAGATTGCGCTCAGAATTCAATATATCAGGCAGTATTCCCATTTGATTTCAGTGAGTGACTAGACAGTAGGACATCCTCTAGGTCGGCAGCGTTAGTGAACGTTACACGAAGTAGTAGTGGATTATTTTGATTCTTGAAGTCCTTTCCGCAAGTGATCCATGTGGCCTTCAGAGGCTCTATTTCGGGAAAGGTGGACTTCCTGTTTAACTCTTCTCAGAGCATCTTGTTATTTTTGTCCTGCAGACTGATGAGAAGGTCAAAGGTGAGAGAATCATTACGAACCGTGATCGTTCTACCAGGTCTTTGAATAATCTCAGGTTGGCAATCTTTTTGTTTGGTTGTTGAAGTGTGTTTCAAATTCCTGTGCTCCTTGCTAACTGGTTGAATAGTCCTGGGATGGGCTGTACGACCAAATCACCAGCTGATTTCATTACAATACCTAGGGTTTTCTGCTTCTTCGACGGTGATACTCTGTCCCTTTTAACTTAGTTGACGGTGGTTCAATCACTAACAGAGATTTCGGGGGCTCCTATCGCACTCAGGGATTCTGTGCCGAGAGACCCACGTTTGCTAAGGAAGTCCAGTGCCGTCGATGTTATGATGGCGCTGAGATTTAGCACATCCTCACTAATGTTGATGAATGTTCCGTCGGTACTAATGTCATCGAAGCCTATCTTCCTTTCTCACTACGTGCCTTTTTGGTCTGCCTGTTTTCCAGGTTTGCTGATAAAATTTTACATGAACCTGTCAATAGAATGATGATGTTTCCCAGCAAAATTCTAGTTCCCATAAATAGTCATCATATTTCACGCTCTGAGATCTTGACTGAAACGGTTCCGCCTTAGTGTACACCAACACCGAGCGTATTTAGTAGGACAAAATTCAGTCAAATTCGGAAGAACACCATCATAAAGTTACTTTCATTGATATGATCTATCAAATGAGAGTTTTTCAAAATCACAGTTTTCACGGGCTGTCAAGTTTTAACAGATTGCAACAACTGTTTACTCATTGTGACGGCAAGAAAACGCCGAAAACTTCTTCGCAGTATTCCACTGGAGATTACTATTTTGTATTTATGTTTTTTTTCCAGCTCTCTTTTAACCTCACTTTGGGTTCTTCTGTCTACACCGTCTGGGCTTTTATTATGTGACCCTGGTTAAAAACTTATTTTTCGTCACTTAAGTTTGCGGTTACATATCGCCGGATCAATACCAATAAGGTGGTAATTGACTACATTCAAGGTCACATTGTGGTCCAGTATGTGACTGTTAAGCTTGGATTGTCTGCTTGGAAAGGTTGCTTTAGTCTTCAAAGATGGATATCTGATCCCATCTTGTTGAGAATACTTTGGCGATCCTCAGGTATCGAACTCTTGCCGATTAGGACGTTATTTTATGTCAGGGAAACCGTTGAAAATATATTACAAACTGTGCCAATTGAGGTATTTTGTACTTTTGATGTAGTTTATTCACCTTATTATATTAGGACCATTTGAATTGAAAACAGTGTGTGTTTTGATATAATTAAATACAAGTCGCTTAAATATGCTTCGTGCGCTATACATAATAACGAACTTTCGTCTAATCGAATAAACTTTGATCAAGTGGTTCTAGGTTCAAGCCGGATATTAACATTTTGGTTGTTACACTAATGGTGCAGGACTAACTTCAGTGAGTAACCCATATATATACTGTACAATTGCACAATTTATGTTGGCATCAAGATGATATCGCAAGCTTGTTCCAAACATCACGAAAAATATTACTTCCACTTTTCGACCTGGTTCCCAGTAAATTTTGTTTGCGAATAGTGACATGAGGATATACTTGTAAAACACTTCACAATGTCAAGGCTTTTTCAAGTCTGCTTATGCTAACTGAAAAGTCTATCTTCACTGCAGGTGCATCCGCATTAGGATTCGGTGCGATTCTTGAGTAGAAGGGGAAACCTGTTATTCATATCCCGAGTCAATAAGTCAGTACTGAACAAGGATATTCTCAGACCCAAAAGAAAGCTTCATCTCTGGTACGTGCAGTAAAAAGACTTTATAAATATTTGTTCGGTGTGAAGTTCCATGTTGTAACTCATCATCACACAAGTGAATTCCTTCATCGTTAAGCTGATGCCGTGTTCCAAACGCAAAATTTAGAATAGGGT